CAGATCTTTCCTCGAGTCCCTTCTCTGCTTTCTTATGTGAAGCAAATTAATTCTGTCTGAGCTCCTTCCAACTTAGAGATAGCTACAGCTAAGAACTTAGATAGCAAAACACCCAACAATTACCAGAAATTTCTCTCATCAGAGGCAGGGGACTATTTACACAATAATGTTTACATTCTTCACCTACATATATTTCTCTACCCACTGCAGTGTCTCTACCTCTTTGCAGTCTTTCCAATTCATTTGAGATATGCCAACAGATATTTTACATATACTCACAAAGTGCCATCAGTCACCAGGTGATATCCTCCATCTTCTTGTTTTTATGTTTTGGCACCCTATGGTATTTCCATCTGTTGTGGATACCTTTGATGCCTACATAGTTGAGTGAAGGGGTCTTGGCTCTGCCTCCAGGGATTATAGCCAAGTGCTTCCTTGTAGACATAGCTACCACTGCCATAGCCCTGCTGACATCCTTGAACCCTGAAAGTGCCAGAGCAGAAGTATCAAATATGGTGCCCTTAGAATATAGAATGTATTTCAAGAATAAATCTACAGAATATGTGCTGTATTATTATTGTGTATTATTATTCACACTGTATTCAGTATATAAGGGAGGAGAATGCTTTCTCATCCTCTTTGCCATCACGGGGGGTCTATATGAATACTAGAGGAGTGCCTGATGGTGTTTTTGAGGAATGAACTCTATTTTGTATTGCTTAATGTTATTTTAGGGTAATATATATAACAGGTGATATAGCACAGGAATAACCATTTAGAGTTGATCCTAAGTATAACCTGAACAATCAGATTGGATATTTGTTAGTGGATAGGACAGCCATATTGGTGCATCTTTGCTTAATATTAGCTCTGTTTTAGATCATGACATGAATCCATGGAGGCCGTGGTTAAGAGGAAGAAGAGACCCATCTTAGTTATAGATGCCATGTTGTTCCTGTCCCCTAAATTTAAGAAATGTTTTCTCTGTTTCCTAATACTGAGGTATTGCTGGAGGCATTATAGCTCAGTGGGATATAAATGTGGGCCCCAGATTTAGATGGATTGAGGATCAAATTCCTGCTCTACAAAAAATGAGTGGGAAATATCAGAAAGGAAGACAGAACATGAGAGACTCCTAACTCTGGGAAACGAACAAGGGGTGATGGAAAGGGAGGTGAGCGGGGAGTGGGGGTGACTGGATGATGGGCACTGAGGGGGGCACTTGATAGGATGAGCAATGGGTGTTATGCTATATGTTGGCAAATTGAACTCCAATAAAAAAAAATCCTGCTCTACTACATAAGAGATCATAGATCCTGGGTAACTAACCTCTATGTGCCACAATTTTTCTCATCTGCAAAATAGAAATAATAATACATAATTATGGGGGTGCTATAAATGTTAAATGAGTGAATTAACTTGTTATGGATTAAAAAATGTTATGCATTATCATTGTACCATGTTCTGATATGTAACTCATTCTTTAGAATAAATTTGGCTTCACCTGGATTCTAGGTAAGCTCACTCCCAAAAATGCAACAGATGTGGCCAGTTCTATAGTAGTCAGATACTAAGTAATTGAATTATCTCATTCACTCATTCATTTGTTCTTTCATTCTTTCAACCAAAGTGCATAGTAAGTGCTGGGAAATCAGTGATGAAAGAGCAGATCACTTTATGAGCTCACAAGCTCACAGCTAGAGGGAGAGATAGACCAAAAAGGAAATAATTAGAAAAGCTGTGTGAGAAGTACCATTATGGAAATATGAAAAGAAGGTTATTGAAATACATCAGAGGGCAGCCCAGGTGGCTCAGCGGTTTAGCACCGTCTTCAGCCCAGGGCATGATCCTGGAGACCAGGGATTGAGTCCCATGTTAGGCTCCCTGCATGGAGCCTGCTTCTCCCTCTGCCTGTGTGTCTGCCCCTCTCTCTCTGTGTCTCTCATGAGTAAATAAATAAAATCTTTAAAAAAAAAGAAATATATCAGAGTCACTTGTTGGGCCTGGAGAAATTAAGAAAGCTTCACAAAAGAAGCGACAAAGACTAGTTGGTAGGAGAGGCTTAGGACCATCAGGTTTCCATATAAATGGTGTTTCCAGTCCCACTGGAAATTTCTGGATGAGGCTAATGTTTACTAGGACTATTGTAGATAAGAGATCAGAAACTTAAAGCATAAACCTCCCTATGCCAGGACTCTAGTAATACAAATAAAATACAAAGATATGAAGCTTTCAAGATCAAGCTGCCTCAGTATTCAACCAAATACAATTATTTAGTTTATATATATATATATATATATATATATATATATATATATATATTTTACTGTTTTGGAGCTGTAGCAGAGGAAATTTTTTAAAATATGGCTTTGTGTTTCAAATTTCTTCCTAAATTCTGAACTCTCCTAAACTGCACCATTTGTGGATAGTCAGCAGTAACAACCCACAGTATTGCTGTTGGTTGCCTTCAGGTCCTTGGAAGCTTATGGTCTTTAGCATGTCACAAGGAGCCTCAAATGTACCCAGTGTCTCCTCAGCTGAAGTCTGAGGAAACGTGAGTTCATTGGGCATGTCTCTGTTTTCTAGCTGCTGAAAATTTATCTGGAGGGATTCTTCTTTTCCACATTGACATTTGTACTTTCACTGTCATGCTTTTTGTTTCTTTGTGTTTCTGGAAAAGAAATAAATCAGTTTCTTTTATGGTCTCTCTGTCCCCTCCCCCCTTTTTAGTACTTGCATTTCAGGCTTCCTTTCTTAGTTGTCTACTTTTCCCTCAGGAAATTGTGCATTCCTTCATTTCATTTGTTCACATTGGGAAAATTTATGTGAATAAGCACATGTAGATTCACAGACATATGCCACAACCCCCATGACCCCCCCCCCCACCACCACACATGGAGGAACAGATTTTTATATCTTGGCTATTAAAAAACATGGGAACACTTGAATAGAAACCTCTCTACCCACTCTTGTGTCTTCTGCTGATTTTCAGCTGTATTCAGTTTTTAGCGAATCACTTAAGGTGTTGGTTTTGGACTCTATTCTTTCCAGGAATAATTTTCAAAGCAAGCAATGTTAGAAAATGTTCTTAGACAATATGTGCATTGCCAGTTTACGTCATCCCTGTGGACTGTTAAAAACTCTATTTCATGGGTTACCTGTCACTCTTGTTTGTTTTTTGGGTGCAGAGGATGGATTAAATCACTTTAGTGGTATAAACTGGCTTTTAATCAGTTGTTTTACTTCTCAGTTCCATCACTCAGTATGCTTTAGGACTGTGAATCAGTGCAGCTGGAGCTGTTTTGGAAGCCTTTTGGCTTGGAGGCTTGGAGGTTAGGACAGGCTTGGAATCAGTTGGCCAGAGTATACACATTGGCACCATTCCTAGACAGCTCTGTGAGTTGCAACCAGTTAGCTGTTCTGTGACTCAGTTTTCCTGTCAATAAAATGGGATTAAACATAATATCCATGTTTCAGCTTCCTTGGGATAATTAAATGAGATTGTGTGCAAGGAATGTTTGCAGAGACCTGGAAAATATTGAGCTCCTAAATAAATGACATTATTCTTATTGCAAATGAGTGACGTGTCAGCAAACAGGAGGAAGGTACAGAGACAGTTCAAGGACTTTATTGCTATGTTTGGTATTATTTGCCTCCATTTCTGTCAGATCAGAAATTTGTTATTTGGTATGGAAAAGGCTGAAAAATCTTGGCCTTGAAAATTTTGGGAGAAAATTTTTTTCTCCCAAGCAAATCATATTTTTTTTCTGGAATTTGTTTTGCCCTCTCCCCTAACATTTTCCTACATACCAATCTCTTAACTTTCTTGTCCTTTACCCACTGACCTGTACCCTGAGTACCCAAGACTCAACATCTGTGGCTTCTGTTTTTATACCATGACTCAGTTGAGAAGCTCCATTCCTGAAAATCCCTTCCAGTTCTTGATGAAAGCCCCTGTTCATAATTCATGTTTTCTGCACAAACTTAGAGTGAAGATCTCAGTGCCATAACCTTAATTCTATAATTGTCAACTATTCTTTATTTTTTACTGATTTTTTTGTTCAAATGTTTACAGCCTACATTTGGGAAATTACCTTCTGATAATTTTTGTTTCTTTATAGAAGCAGATTTCTCCCATATGGCTCTTTGCTGGCCATTGACACACCTGATGTATGTTTATTCTCAGATAGTGTCTTGTGCAACCACAGGAGACTTATAGGGAACTTCCTTACCATGGTTAAAGATAGCCATGGTAAAAGCAACACCAAAGAGGTCCTTGTGAAATATATGATTAGGATGTACCATAGGAATTAATATTCTCTGGCCACTGTCTTAAATTGTAACCACACTGTTTTTGTAAGGAAGTTGCTCAATTTATAGAGCACACAGAGCTATATTCTGATCAGGGACCAGTCTCATTTAAAATCCTTGTCTCAGAAAGTACTTAGCTTATTCAGCTTAATATGTACATGCTGTCTATATTCCTTTGAGTGACAGGTTATAATTTTTTTTTTTTGCTAATTTGACCATCCCTGATAATTTCTGCAACTCCTAAAAGTCTGAGTACGAGAGAATACCTTCTCTAAAAATGGTTTTTAATATCTTTTTCTGGGTTAAGAATATTTTTTAAGTAGTACTTCTACAGATTTGTCATTCACTATAAAAAATTATTTTACTGGACATCATGCCAATTTTTTTCTTAGAGTTCCCCAATTAAATAGTAACTTCAAAAACATACTGCTAGTTTGCTAGGTTTTAGTAGGTCAGCATGCACAGCAAAAGTGTATTAAGGTGGACTGCTCTATTTATTGATTTGCCGTGAATTTGCTAAAGGCTGGAGGCAATTGTCTGTGGAAGGGGCGGGAGGGCCATACATGATCGAGGTCATGCGCATCTAGCCAATTTGTAAGACGATCCGCTGCTCCAAGCCTTCAGCAATCCTTAGCATAGGGGCACACTCATGCATTCCTGTCAAGTCATCTTGTGAAAGGCTGCCTGCTTCCAGCTTGGCTTGGATGTGCAACCTTAATAAAACTCACTGAGGTCTGGGAGAAAATAGCAGATCTGCTGCAGATAGGGTAGGGGAAAGGGTCTAGAATATGTACACGCAGCTGACTCAGGCAGGCTCCACGCTGAACGGTTACACAGAGAGGAAACAATAAATCTCAGCTACTATGCAATAAATATCTCAAGTTTTAACTAAGGAAACTACCATTACAGTGAAATAAAAAAAAAAAAAACAACATTTTAGCACAAAGCTAACAAATGGCTAGTTTTCTGTGATTCTTCTTCAAAAGCTTTCTTTGAGGGGGAAAAGTCAATCAAGCAGTTTTACCTAAAATAAAAACTAGTTTAAAGGTCAGAAGAAAGGAGCAAGTTTTGCGAGCGGCACGGAAAGAGAGTGCTGGCAGTACAATGACAGTTTTCCTTTCCTTTGCTTTCCTCGCTGCCATTCTGACTCACATAGGGTGCAGCAACCAGCGCCGAAGTCCAGAAAACGGTGGGAGAAGATATAACCGGATTCAACATGGGCAATGTGCCTACACTTTCATCCTTCCAGAACACGACGGGAACTGTCGTGAGAGTACGACAGACCAGTACAACACAAACGCTCTGCAGAGAGATGCTCCACACGTGGAACCGGATTTCTCTTCCCAGAAACTTCAACATCTGGAGCATGTGATGGAAAATTATACTCAGTGGCTGCAAAAAGTAAGTGATCGCTTTCAGTTTCTAATTGCACAGAGCCTTTTCCGTTGTTGCACTGCAGCTAACTTAGAGTTCCCTAGGGGGGCATTTGTGTGTTTACCTTTTGCTCCTGGGGGGCAGTATTTGCAAATGCAAGCCTGTTCTTCCCCTGTGACTTCATGGGTGAGCCACGGTTTTCAGGCTTGTGCAACCCTCTAAAGGTATAGTGGCAACCAGTTTCTGTGCCAGCAATGGGACATTTTATGACCTTTCTGGTTTCCTCTTATTTAAAACTGAGCTTGATTTTTCTGACTGACAGAGCCCAATTAAAAAAAAAAAAAGAGTGAATGTCTTGAGATGGTGAAAAAAGAAAATAATGAAATACCAATTTAGGATCAAATAGATTAACAGCAGGAAATTTTATGGAGCTAGGGTGAGAAATTGTCATCAAATACTTATTTTTTCAACTTTTAGTCAAGTTAATATGAAATGAGAGTATATATAAAGTATATTTAGTTGGAGTAATTGTCTAAGTATATACTTTTGGCAAGTAGCAGAATAGTAGAGGACAAGGTTCTGTCATCTATTTTTGCCGTCCTTGAGAAAAAAATCAGGAAGGTAGATTTTAAAGCGAATTCTTCAGGCAGGTTGTCTGGCCGGCCAGTGTGAAAGGAGAGGTTGAGCTGGCAGTTGCTCTTCCCAAAAATGTGCACCTGCAGATTTGAGCTGAGCACAACATGGGCTTTGCTGTCTTTCTGAAATAAGTCTTTTCTCAGGACACTGGTTACCAACAGTGTCACATGGGAGTCTAAGTATCCAGATGAATGTCAGTGTTGAGTGTGCAGTTAATCCTTGTTTAAAAAAATCAAAATGAACATTTTATTCCATTTTTCTCTATAAACAGTTTACAAGTTTACAATGAAAATACGTCTTTTAAAATATGAACACACTTCCTGCGGTTCCTTGTTTCTTTGCTCTCTGTTTAATTGTGTAACAGGTAAACAGCAGATAACAAGCGTATTCAACTATGTCAATCAAAGGGTGGCAATGTCACATTGGTGAAAATGCTTCTCTCCCAGGGATCTTTGCTAAGAATTCATTTGGTGCATATATGTAGGAACATGGCCAGTCCAGTCGCCTTTAAATTAGTCTGTTAACAGAGCAAACCCTTTAAGAAGATAAGGAGAGGACAAATGTTCTATTTTTTTCCCTGTGTTGTCACTCTCCCTTAAAGCACTGCCTGCTGAATCATGCCAAGTAACTGTTATTATACTTTTGTCCACTAGGGACTGAACTAACATCACTGATACTTTATTTGACAACTGAAACTCGGTAGTTTCAGAGTTTCTAAACCTGAAAGTGTAGTTAATCTTTCTATTGTAGACTACAAGTGAAAAAAATCAATAGGGACAGAAGAGTGGAAAGCAAAAAGAATTCTGAAGGCTTTTGATAATTGTGTTTTAAATTTCAGGCACTAATTATAGCAGCAGTTTATAATAGAATATCTGTTTTTTCTTTGGCAAAATTTATTTTAATAGTACACAAATTAATGTAGTCAAACAGCTTATTACTATTCTCAATAAAGCATCCATTGGGTTTTTAATTGAGAATTCAATCATTATAAATTAGTCTGGATTCTTTGAAGGGGCTGGGGAGGGAAATTTAGTCCCAAATTGTCCTGAATGAGCTACCAAAAATGTAATATTTTGTTTACTTACAACATGTAGCCAAAATGGTGATTCAGGCGTAGTAATGCATATATATATATATTTTTTTTTGCCATGCAATTATTCAGCAGTGATAGTGTAAATATATGATTCTGCTGAGCTTATATCATGCACAGGTTCCATATGTTAATTTACTGTGTGAAATAAATTTAATTTTTGTTTGCATTCTTCTTGGTCAGTGATTACGGCATAGTTTGCAGATTATAGCCAAGCATAACTATGCAAATGTTCTTTGGTTACATTGACCCTGGCTAATGTGAATCTAGCTGATTATATGCTGAAAATGTCCCTGTTGATGTTGAGTCAGAGCAGTTTGGCTTGACTATTGTCTGTTTAAATTTGCATATCTTTTGTCATTGTTAATGCGATTGGTAGGAGGATCAAGAAACCAAATAAATTCTTTCAGCAAAGAACTTGCTAAAAAGCTGTCTCAAGTTTCCCTTAATTAGAGGGTTTTTTTTTTTTTAGGTTCTAGGTTTCTTGTAATGTATTTATTTTGATAATTCAAATGGAAATCTTTTTACTGTAACTATTTGGTATGCTTAGTACTGCAAATTGTACTACTTACATTTTAATTCCGAATAGTTGTGTTAGGATAAAAAACAATGCACTGCAAAAAACTGAGGCTATCAGTGTAAATGCAGTTGATTCAGCAAAATAATTAATCAGAGCATGGTGATTATTATGCAGCTCATGGCATCACTATCAGGAAGGTTTTGATGCAAGATGTGTGTTATCAATGCTAGATGCAGCTAGATGATAATTTATGTTAATCTGATACCTTCTGTGAAGTTAGGTAAACTAAATTCTTTTACAAATATTTTTCACAAGATACTGACTTCAGTAAATAAAAGTCCCTTTATGAGACTTACATGGTCGAATGTCATTTCTCAACCCTTCTGGTTTTGCAACTAAACAAGATGAGAAAGAATGCAAGGGGAAAATGATGTGCTGGTCATACCTGAAGTGTTGGAACTGTCATGGCACTTGTCTCTTGCTGTCATGGGTTTCATTCGAGGAGATCAACTTTGTCTAGTAACCTGTCAATTAACACTAATTATGAATTAGGTTGATAGCATTATTCTCACTTATCAGATGGGGAAGAGCAATATAAATAATTGGCTAAAAAATCACCTGGGCTGTATGTCTACATTTGACTCTCTTCTCTTCAATCATATGGTCCTTTTCAGAACTATTAGTAAACCATACCCAATACCTGAGACCAGGTCTTGGGATAATAACATTAAGTACAAATGGCCTTTGTGCTTTGCCACTTTCTTGTGATTCCCTTCTACGTATCTATACCAGAGAAATGTCTAGTGTTTAATGTCTACCTTATATCTCATGCTTCTTGAATTATTGTTTTCTTTCTCCTATATCCAAGAAATTCACAAATATGTATATTTAAAGACTCAGATTTAAGACATGTAAATTCTATCATTTGGAGGAATGCTTAGGAAGTCCTTTGCCTTTGCTAAATGATGTCTTTTTGTTGTTGTTGAAAGTATAAATAAAGAGTAAAAAACATGCCTTATAACAGACAACAAAGGTCTAACCATTGTAAATATTTTACACTATTTAAAATTGATGAGTTGATGATTATTAGTAGAAAATATGTTATGAATTGCCATCCAGAATATTTTAATAGATGAAAAATTTTTACTTAAGTACTTAGCTAAATATTTCTAAAGACATTTTTGACTAACAATATCCTCTACTTATATTCTTTGTTTCAGAGAATTATGATGATCTTTTTAAAACTCATGTATTACAGATATTAACCCATATTAATATCCACTACATTATGACCCCATGAGACTAGTGACTAAAGCAGTGTATAGTCCATAGCAGATAGACAATAAATATTTGTTGAATGAACAAATGAATGCATTGCCTATGTGTTACAATCTACATTTTACCATGTACTATTAACAATTTGTTTTGGATGTACACTTTACCTCCCTAGATTGTAAGTTATCATTTAGGCAAGTATTGCATTCTATAATTACTTTTGTCCTGATATTCATCAAAAAGATATTGTGTCTAGGGACTCCTGGGTGGCTCAGCAGTTGAGTGTCTGTCTGCCTTTGGCTCAGGGAGTGATCTGGGTCTGGGGATGGAGTCCCGTCTAGAGTTCCCTACAGGGAGCCTGCTTCTCCCTCTGCCTATATGTCTCTGCCTCTCTCTCTGTCTCTCATGAATAAGTACATAAAATCTTAAAAAAAAAAAAAGATATTAGGTCTAGAGTAGGTGGTTATTAATTATTCAAATTGTATTTAGCCAATGACCTAGGATCTCAAAAACTTCTACATCACTCTGTCTTGTCCACTTAATTATTCTTTAAGAGTCAGCTTTGTTACCAGTTCTCTAGGAAATGTACCTGCACTCCATTTCCCCTGCCAGGCTGAGCTCTCCAGTGTTATCAGAATAAGTTGGATGTATCATGAAGGCACTGCACTTCCATGTTATGTGGTTGCTGTCATTTTTATTATTTGTTTTGAGGCCTGTTTTCCTACTCAGACTATGAGTCCCCTCGAGTGTAGTTAATGTTTTTTCATATATATCTGAAATGTTTATTGAGTGTTTGAACAATATCTCTGTTATCATAATATAAAAATAAAAGACACCAAATGCTCAAGTGTGTGGTGCTGGGATAAAATAATGAAAATTAAGAGAACTTGTAACTATTTTTAGATGCCACAGTTTGCTTGAATCTTTTGTGCTAGGTTACTTGAGGGTCAGTTAGACCTTCCTTTGGGAGGAAAAATAATTTTGTAGGTACCAAAGTACCTACAGTAGGTAACAATTTGCTGCATGCAATAATGACACATATTTACATGTAATATGTGCATATGTGAATCTAAGTAATTGGAAATGATTTCTCATCTGTGCATTGTTTTGGTGGCTGGTGATGCAAAATAAGCCAAAGAGGATGTTCTATGTTTTATTTGCACATTTGGAGGAGGAGGTTTCCTTAATGTGTGAAAAAAGCAGGCAACTGATAAGTATGTTTTTAAAAATTTGTCACTAAACTTGGAAAAAATATGCGTGTATGATTTACACACAGAGGTAGAAAAAAATGGCAGTTGCCAAGAAAGGTTAAAGGAATAATTTCCTTTTAAATTCAGTTGTAGAAATGTCCCTACCAAGTTCATTTGAGATTAACCCTAGGTTTTCAAGCCAAAGAGGAAGTCTTTAGTTAATATGTCTGCATTAACTTTTCAACAAATAGTTAAGTTTTATTTTTTGCTTGTTATCTTTTAGAATTAAAAGATCCAAGAAGGCAGAAAAACCTTT